AAATCTAAAAATCTTCTCTTGTGTGACGTAAATACATAGGATAAAGATTTTTTTTTTTTTCATTTGAGAAGATGGCAAGGAGCAGGCGATTCAGTCGATGTTAAGTATTAAACGCCGTCCTTGAACATAACCAAAGACATATTACGGGTTTTCAGTTGAGTTACTAAAAACTGGTGGGCCCCGGTTACCTCACAATAAGTCTAAATACTCCTTCATGCCAATCTTCCGTCGTGGTACTTCCCCAGACGCAAGGCCAGATTTAGAGGTCAGGAGGCCTCGGGGCAACAAAGGAGTGGAGGCCCCTGGGCCCCAAATTATTTTCCATTGATTTCTGTTAATATTTAATGTAATCATGTTTGTACAAAATACTGCAGGTAAAAAGAAAAGGCGAAAAAAAAATATGAAAAGAAAAGTTGTTTACTAGTCTGAATTTGAATTTCTTTTTCCGAAGTCTCTATAGTGGGGGCCCTGGGACTGTTGCCCCGGTTGCCCTCCCCCAAATCCGGCCCTGCCCAGACGAGCGTGCAACAAGTACACCTGGTTAGTAACTGTGGTAGAACAGCTACGTTGTACTTTCTTATTTGTGAAATTGCTAATAATAAAATACATTGTAATCCGTTCTTACAGATGCACAAATTAGATTTATTTCCTCATAACTCCGATCTTGTCTTTCTAGCCTGGGGGGTTAAAAACTGAATTCGGCAATCCCTTTACATACATACATGAAATGAAGACAGTTGAAGCGTCTCAAAGAAAATGTTTATCGTTAATATAAAATGAATAATAACAATTTATTATACATTTTATATTAACGATAAACATTTTATACAAAACATTTTCATACTTTTTGAACGAATCACAAAAAATATATTAATTTGCTTACATTGTCTTGACTTCATGTCGAGCAAGTTATCATTTTGTCACCCCGCTTAAAATAGTCTCGTGTAATGTTCTTGCTTTATCGTCTTACGATTGTCACACATCATAGAAATGTGTCATTTATTTTTATTATGTTGCAATGATTGATAGAGAATTTGAAATATTTTCGTAAAAACAATAGTTTCAGATAGGACTGAAAGTAAGCGATTTAGTTTTTTCTAATAAATATACTCAAGACTATAACATAGTTTACTCATAAGTAGTGATAGGATTGTAATGTACATAAGTAGGATTGTAATGTAAAAAGTAAAGGAAAGTAATATATATGTCCCACTGCTTGGCAAAGGCCTCCTCTGTACTGAGGGTATCAGGGCATATTCCACGACGCGGCCCACTGCGGACTTCACATATCATCGAAATATTTTTTTGTTATTATTTCGAAAAATGCAGGTTTCCTCAGGACATTTTCCTTCACCGCAGAGCACGTGATAATTCGGCACTTAAAATTAACAATTTCATTGGTGGCGGCACCGGGGATCGAACTCGAGTTGCTCGAGTAAATTTAATTAAAGGCGAGCGCCCGGACACTGAGCTATCACGGCTTCTTTAACTGTACTAGCAACCCGCCCTGGCTTCGCACGGGTGCAATGTGCTATACATATAAACCTTCCTTAAAAACCACATCAAGATCCGTTGCGTAGTTTTAAATATCTTAGCACACATAGGGACGGAGAGAAAGCGGAACGACTTTGTTTTATACTATGTAGCGATACTCTCTATTTAGATAATTTAATCGTGACTCCAAGCTTTACATTTTAAAAAACGACTACTAACGTTTAATAGTTTTATGACCCTGTGATATTTAGGTAGCGGGCACTGACCACGGACTTGATGTTCCAAAAATACCGCAGGCAAATTATCGGGAAATAGAAACGCGCGTGAGCAAACCGCGCCGTACCTAATTGATAAAAACCTACGCGTCTGTGGTTATTTTAGAACCGCTATTTTTACAGGCGATACTTCAAACCGCACTAATATTATAAACTAGCTGCCTGGACGGACTTCGTTCTTAATATTAAATTTAGTATTTAAACCTTAAGGAACAGCCAGTCTTGAGTTATGCGCTTACCAACATTCATAAATTTAATTATTAATATCAACTATTCAACCGCGCTTTAAGGTTACACATACAATTTTTTTTATACTCAAACAACGTCGGAATATGACGCGTTATTTATCGTCATTGCTTTTTCAGATGGGTGGTAAGTACTAGCTGAAAGCCGATTTTAAAGCCTCGTCACAAATAGGAAGATATAGCAGATCGATGATCCACCTAGCGCCCGACACCGCACAGGTGACAAATATTATGATTTTTCGAATGAAAAAAAAAACAGGCCACCGAGTTGGACTCCGGTAGGGTTCCGTACCATTCTTATTATCTATTAAATATTTCCTTATTCTGCAACAGCGGCAACAGAAATACATCATCTGTGAAATTTTCAACTGTCTTACTATCACGGTTCATGAAATACAGCCTGGTGATAGACGGACAGACAGACAGTGGAGTCTTAGTAATAGGATCCCGTTGTACCCTTTGAATACGGAACCCTAAAAATACAAATAAATTTGAATATGAATACCGATAGATATGAAAGACCATTGAGATATGATACGGGCACGACAAAAAACTTTAATCTGTGACATTTTCTCTTTAATCAAATTGTTCCATTTTCCTAGATAACATCTATGGTAATGTCAGACACGGAATGAAAATATTTATGACCGCTATCAATACATTAAAACCTAGATTCATAATTTACCCATGTGCTGTACCAATTACATTTTGGTGATTTATTTTATTGACATGGTTACTAAACATTCTTACAAATAAGTAAGTTAATATTAATTTTCCGTCTTAATGTCTAATAATGAAGTTGACAATAAAACTATACGACGAAGTAAAACAGTTCATAAAACATTGGGATTTATAAAGTTGCATAGAATCCGTAAATATGTTTTATTTCATGTTTTACTTAGTAGTACAACGCTGCTAATAAATCATTGGATCGATTGATAAAGTATCCGTTTAACGCCGCAATTAAAGGCCTGTCCTCGGCCTGGCCTTAATTACACGTTGGCTTTTGTATTCCTTATATGAACCTCGAACTACTCGACGGTCTAATTATGGTAGCAGAACAATCTTGGATTCTTCTCATTATGCGCTTAACGTTATAGGAAATGGCCCTATAAAACGGCGCCACCTTTGACTATATACTTATCTAGATGACAAATTTAACCTTACCAAACGGCGCAAATAAAGTCTGACTGACTTATTGAGAAGTGAGTCAATGATGTTTAATAATATCATTATATATCACTACGTAATATAAAACAAAGTCTTCCCGCTGTCTGTCTGTCCCTATGTATGCTTAGATCTTTAAAACTACGCAACGGATCTTGATGCGGTTTTTTTTTACTAGATGGATTCAAGAGGAAAGATTAATGTGAAGCCGGGGCGGGTCGCTAGTTATGTATATATATACGGCGTGTCGTTACCATCGCCACAATAAATGAACACACATATAGGGGATAACTTTTTAAAGTTGTATTAAACATTTAAATTCTTTAAACATCAATATTTACAGTTATTAAATTTTCCAAAACAAAGAATTTTAGAACACCCTTACCTATAAAAGCGTAACGTAAAGTTCATTTGTAAAGGTCACAAAGCATATGAATGCGTTGAATGAATTTAAGAGACAAAACATACTGTTAGAAGCAGAGGCTTGTAATGCGACGCTGTGGCGCGAGTTGTATAGGTGTTTCAAATTTTGTGTAGCGTTAGACGTGTTCATTTATTGTCGCGATGGTAACGACACGCTGTATCATTGTCATTTGAATCACTTACGGATAACGCTCACAAAAAAATAATGATTTATGTCGTTTTGTATACCACCCACGGTTAAATACTCGTTAGACAAAAAATATTTAACGCTTAGCCGTATTTCATTCCTCATCTATATTTCAATCACTGGTAACGTTTAGATTATGGAAACGGAAGTATGTAATGGGAAATGAATAGGCATTAAATAGTAAATAAAAGCAAAAAGTTATCACATTTTTTCTCCCAAGAAAGAAGTAAATCAATTATTTTTGTTCCTAACTTCCTGGCTTTGTGTCACGCATGAATAGTATGATTGGTTGGAATGACCCATTCGTTGTAGAGGTCGTTTGATGTAAACCATAGATAAGCCATATATATAGGTACTGAAATGATGTAACGTTAAGATGAAATTTCCAGAAAAAAAATTGTAAGCCCTAAAGTAAACAATTTTCTAAGAACTTTTATTTCTTTACCGTCAAATCACTTATCAACTGACCCGAACAGGGCATACCCAGATTACAAGGGTGATGACAGCATCTATTGCGCGAGGTCAATAGAAGGAATATCGCATGTCACAGCACTTTTGTGTCGCTCTTCTATATTTTGGCAGTATTTTGAAGGCCATCAGCCTTAGGGCGTTAAAGATGCTTATTGAATACTCCGCTGTGTGGTGAGGACTGTCGGATGGCAATACTCGTAGGCAAACTAAGTGCGGAAAACTGATTCATTAAATTACTATATCTCATTAATTAGATTGAAATTTACAACTAGACCGGATGCAGACCTTCAGTGTGTGAAGATACGAGGTTTCTAAATAAGTAGTTTATAGAAATTTCCTTAGTGCTATGAAACTAGTAGGTATCTATGTCTAGCTAGTAGGTAAATTTTCAGTCTGCACAATTGGCAAAGCTGAATGAAACAATTAGTAAATATTATATTAAAATAAAATATTTTGTGTAAAAAAACTAAATTTTGTCTATTAGGTGCACGAAGATAAAGAATGAAATAAAATGCTCATTTAAAGTTGTGGGTAAATCATACTTGGTAAATAATTTATTGAGGGTGTCTAACAGACGTCCGAATACAATTCAGGTACATGAGAAACCTTTTATAATTGCATAAGCGACGGCGTAAACGAAAACGCTAACGGACAAGACAAAATCAAAACAAGCGGGCCACGTTTCAATCATTTAATCGAGCGCCTCGACGCGCGCGAGGGTGGAATGTACTTTGCTTAGTCGACCTCTTCGATGGTGGGGCCCGCGCCGCCGCCGGGGGCCGCGCCGGCGCCCGGGGCTCCGCCCGGGAAGCCGGGCATCCCACCCGGCATGCCTCCGGGCATCCCGCCGGGCGCTCCGCCCGCGCTCTGGTACAGCTTCGTGATGATGGGGTTGCAGATCGCCTCCAAATCCTTCTGCTTGTGCTCGTACTCCTCCTTCTCGGCGAGCTGGTTCGAGTCGAGCCACTTGATCGTCTCGTAGCACTTGTCCAGGATCGTCTGCTTGTCCGTCTCAGAAATCTTGTCCTTCAGCTTCTCCTCCTCCATGGTGGACTTCATGTTGAAGCAGTACGACTCGAGCGCGTTCTTCGCCTGGATCGTCTCCTTCTGCTTCTCGTCCTCGTTGCGGTACTTCTCCGCCTCGTTGACCATGCGCTCGATCTCCTCCTTGGAGAGGCGGCCCTTGTCGTTGGTGATGGTGATCTTGTTCTCCTTGTTGGTGGACTTCTCGACGGCGGACACGTTCAGGATGCCGTTGGCGTCGATGTCGAACGTCACCTCGATCTGCGGCACGCCGCGCGGCGCGGGCGGGATGCCGGTCAGCTCGAACTTGCCGAGCAGGTTGTTGTCCTTCGTCATGGCGCGCTCGCCCTCGAACACCTGGATCAGCACGCCCGGCTGGTTGTCCGAGTACGTGGTGAACGTCTGCGTCTGCTTCGTGGGGATGGTGGTGTTGCGCTTGATCAGCGTGGTCATCACACCGCCGGCGGTCTCGATGCCGAGCGAGAGCGGCGTCACGTCCAACAGCAGCAGGTCCTGCACCTCCTCGGACTTGTCGCCGTGCAGGATGGCGGCCTGGACGGCGGCGCCGTACGCCACCGCCTCGTCGGGGTTGATCGACTTGTTCAGCTCCTTGCCGTTGAAGAAGTCCTGCAGCAGCTTCTGCACCTTGGGGATGCGAGTGGAGCCGCCCACCAGCACGATGTCGTGGATCTGCGACTTGTCCATCTTGGCGTCGCGCAGAGACTTCTCCACCGGCTCCATGGTGGAGCGGAACAGGTCCGCGTTCAGCTCCTCGAAACGCGCGCGCGTGATCGACGTGTAGAAGTCAATGCCCTCGAACAGGGAGTCGATCTCGATGCTCGCCTGGGTCGAGGAGGAGAGCGTCCTCTTCGCGCGCTCGCACGCCGTCCGTAGCCGACGCAGCGCCCTCTTGTTGGTGGTTAGGTCCTTCTTGTACTTCCGCTTGAACTCCTGCACGAAGTGGTTCACCATGCGGTTGTCGAAGTCCTCGCCGCCCAAGTGGGTGTCGCCGGCGGTCGACTTCACCTCGAAGATGCCGTCCTCGATGGTCAGGATCGACACGTCGAAGGTGCCGCCGCCGAGGTCGAAAATAAGTACGTTGCGTTCTCCGCTTCCCTTCTTGTCAAGACCGTACGCAATCGCGGCAGCAGTCGGTTCATTGATGATACGGAGAACGTTCAGGCCAGAGATCGTACCCGAATCTTTGGTGGCCTGCCTCTGCGAGTCATTGAAGTACGCTGGAACCGTGATGACTGCATTTTGCACCGTTTTGCCGAGGTAGGCCTCGGCTGTTTCCTTCATCTTTGTAAGGACCATAGAGCTGACTTCCTCAGGGAAGAAGGTCTTATCTTCACCTTTGTATGATACCTTAATCTTTGGCTTGCCTCCATCACTGACAACCTCGAAAGGCCAGTGTTTCATGTCGGCTTGCACGGTGGCATCTTCGAATTTGCGGCCAATTAGTCGCTTAGCATCTGCAACAATCAGAAGTTAACATTTAAAAACTAACCAAAATAACAAAGGTATATCATTTTAGAAAATAGATATCAGATTATATTTATCATTCAATATGTTCAGAGACTCTAGTCTAGTATATTGGAATATCATCATGAAAGTAAATTCTAAGCCGGAATATTAGTTTTACACAGATACTAAAGTAATATCAACATACACCACACAGCCTTGTTACCTTGTAATAAATTCATTTACACCTCGTTGTTTGCCTTGAACGAGGGAAATGATTTACAAAAACATACAAAGGTTACATCATACTTTTCGATTCATACCTAACAATTAAACCGATAATTGTTGTATTCTCTTTTTAATAGTGAAAACAATATAAATTCAAATTACAAAAATGATTAGCAAACCTAATGCAACAATTATAACAAAAGGTATATACTTCATTACAATAAAACTAAAAATAATATCAAACTTATCAGTTTTAACGTAAAGGACTTTCGAGATTGTAGAGCGAGTCACCAACCACGTGGTGAACCATCATACCGACCCGCGGAAACAATGGGCGCACGCGTTCACCGCGTCGTCACTACACGACTACAATAGAGGGACAAGTTCCAAGTTCTACTCACCGAAAATGGTGTTGTTGGGGTTCATCGCCACCTGGTTCTTGGCGGCATCTCCGATGAGACGCTCCGTGTCGGTGAAAGCGACGTACGAGGGCGTGGTCCTGTTGCCCTGGTCGTTTGCGATGATCTCCACCTTCCCGTGCTGGAACACGCCCACGCACGAGTAGGTCGTGCCCAAATCGATACCTACCGCTGGTGCTTTGGCCATCTGTAAAGGATATCGATCATGTAGCGGCTGCACGGAAAATTAAACATGGCGGCTAACAGCGGCGGCAACGTTATCGCGGGGACGCGCAGCCGCCATAACAAAAAATCAATATGAATGTTCTCGAAGGATATATTTAAAAAAATCTATGTGAATTGATAAACTGTAGACGTAATGAATTTGAAGTTATTTCAAAGAAAATGCAATCCAGTGAGTGCAGAAATTGAAATATTAACCACGTGACTAACGTTAAGCTGTCGAACAATTTGATTTAATTTTAAGAAAGACAGAAGAAATACAGATTACAGTTCCTATTGAACTTAATTCTGAATCATGGGAAATGACTAATCATCTAATAGAAGGTCAAGGAACTTTTCCATAGTCGATAACTATCAACGACAAAATAATTACAAAATAATCGCGAGAAAACACAACTTTTATTAAATTTCATATTAACTTGAAGGATTAACAGAAAATAACGGTACCACATTGTTAACCTTTTCTATATTCAGTAGACTTATCTAGTAGATCACTCAGCAAAGGTGCGCGATTGACGGTTTCGTGTCACGAAATAAAACTGAAGCCGCATTGGTCGTAGTCCCGGTTTTATGCGCGCGCGTAATCAATAGACGTCACTCGACTTTTCTGGAATATTCCTTGCGAACAGCCAATGGGGATCGCACATTTATAACGCTCTTCGTCGCCATTGGCCTAAATGGAACGCTATAATGCGTATTACAGCAAAATGAATAGACAGTGTTGCGCCTGTGCTATATCGATTTTTCCAACTTAACTACGAAGCAGACAAAGGAATTGCAATTGTGTATTATGCGTCACATTTACGTAACATATAATAATTCATACAACTTATTCAGTCATCAAGATAAATCCAAAATATTTCCTCTAGTAATGTAATTTTTTTTAAATATGTAATTATTTCTTGCATTATGTTAAGGAAACTTACTAGACGAAATAATTACATATTTCGCACATCCCTGATCTCTTTAGAGGTAGGCAGAGACGCATTTTAAACTTGATTTTGTAAAATCTTCCAGTTAATTTTGCTTATGGATATCATCTTTGTACATTTAGTTCTTATATATTTAACTTCAAACTGCACTTTTTTCTACCAAATTTATGATGCAATAGTTTTGAATCTTTCCATTTTATCACTTAATGTTAAGTACATAATGTTTCCTTAAGATAATTTAAATCTCTATTCTCAATTTTATAATGATAATTATAAAATAATATTGTTTATTGATCTGCTTAATCGGATAGATGTAGTCATGTGTGAAAATAACCAAAACTTGCGTACGTTGGGATTTTTTCCAAGCACAATTTTCTTAATATTGTACATTATTCATATGAAAAATCAAAAATAAATAACTAAAAAATTCTATTTTAAAAATCTTTTTATTCAAAGAAGCAGAAGTGAAGTCTCTCTATGAATACGAAATGAATGCCTTTTTCTAATGATATTATTTTAACGCTATGGAACAACAAACCAGCGTTTCTTTTTCTAAAATTTCTTGGGTGAAATTGTACATTTCTTGTGTGAGCACCGAACTAATATTTGAAATGACAGAACTTCACAGTGGAAATTGTGTATATTTACAATCTTTACACTAACCGTAAATAAAAGTAATCATTTCCCTTCCGTGTGAGACTTTTTTGAAAGGATATAAATTTGCCATTTAACTTTGTACATTTGTGTATACTAGTATTATAAGTATTTAACTACTTACAGTATTTGATTTTATATGTATGTAATATATACGTTGTGTATCGTGTAGAGTAATATTATACGTCGGCGCCGTCTTATGCCTATCATCTAGTGAATGTTAGGCAAAGTAAATTTTTGCCTTCGCAACACGGAGCCCTAAGGTAAGATGTTCGTTTGTTGATTTGTTACACCGAGTTATACATTTTTGCAAAATAAATATTACTTCATTTAACATTTACAGGTATGTTATTTATCAATGTTCAATTTCATTACAAATTTTGACTATTATTTCTCTATGCCATCTATTTTTATTTAAACTGTTAAAAAATGTATAAGAAATATTTACACTTACCTTGTATGAAATACTAGAGCATACTTTTTCCCAACTTAAAAGCAAATGTTATTCGACTGTAAACACTAAGCACTATTGTTGCGAATTGCGATATCTAAACTCTACAGATAAAGTAAAAAAAATTTAGAAGTATTTTTTTTATAATAGCGTTATAAACCATTGTTTTCCTCTTTTAAATACGTAGCTTTAGTTACTTAAGCTACTTTTATATAAGGAAAATAAAGGCAGGCAAGTTGTATAGCAAGTAAATATAATAATTAATCATTTGAAAACCACGTGTCTGTGCGTGGGTCTAAGTTTATATCTAGCACCACAGAGTACATTTGTATACACTATAAACTAACTACTAATACTCATACTACACTAACTAGTACACTATAAATTACAATAAAACACGCACCACGCCCCACGCTACAGCACTTGTATAACCTTAAAATAATTTCTTTCGTTGTATAAACGGCAAATTAAATGCTTTAAAATTTAATAATTCTAAAACTTTACCTTGTTGTTTAAATAATGTCATTTTGTTATTATAAAATAAAAAGTTATTTCTTTGTTGATCTGAGTTAAATTTTTAATATGTAATTATAAGATAAATATATTTAAGACAACAGGAATTTATGAAAATAGATAAGATCCTATACAATTAAGTTTCTCAAAAAGTCACGGTTAGTAAATAAATATCAAAGGCTCGGCTTAAGTTTCGGTACCTAACTAGGTACATAAGTAAAATACATCGATCATAAAGTAATATCAATGAGAATGTTCTTAGAGCGCCCTAATTGCTGTAATTGCCTCCTTATATTTTAAATAACATCCTGGGTGAGAGCACGGACTAGGTTGTAATTATTTTATTAGTCCGTGGATCAATGATAAATATTGGAACTGGCGAAATCCAATGAACCTCTGACGATATCCCATTTTAAACATATTTACGACTAGCTTTTGGCCCGCAGCTCCGCCCGCATGTAAGCAAGTACTGCATTTTATATCGTGCTTAAAAAGTATCCTCAATAAATGGACTATCTAACAGTGCAAGAATTTTTCGAATCGGACCAGTAATCCCTGAAATTAGCGAGTTCAAACAAACAAACACTTCAGTTTAATAATAATAGAATAGATATCCTCGTATTTTTGTCCGTCCCATCTAGGGTATCGTCCTACCTAAAAATAGGTACTTTCTAGTGCTGTCAGGTCGATCAAAAATCAAAATCAAAAATCAAAAATATATTTATTCAAATAGACGTTTGCGCGTTCTTATGAATCGTCACATTTTACATCAAAGATTATGTATATAGGTTCGTAAGGTACCACCGGTTCGGAACGCGGTTTCTGTTGAGAACAGACCGGCAAGAAACTCAACAGTTGCTCTTTTTCAAAAATATACTTATCAGGGTACAATATCTTATGCAGGGTACAATATAAGTTATATATATTTGGCAAACGAGCTGGCGGTTCACCTGATATTAAATGATAATCGCCGCCCACAGACATTTGTAACACCGGTTGCAGATGTGTTACCACCTTTTAATAAGGCGGGCCCCGGCTACCTCACTCACCACAGAAAAGCAGAAGTGTAACACCACAGTTGACCACAATGTAACACTTCTACTTTACGCCGGTCTTCTGTGAGGTCCTGGTATTATCATGGACAGACCTGCCCATTTGTGCAACAGCGAATACAGTTGCGTGGTCCTACCACAGTTAGATTAAAGAGGTGAAATCAATTTATATTTTATTCAATCAATTTATATTCGAATCAATTAATACCAACTTAAGGACCCACATTGAAGATTTGTGCGATAAAATACTATATAATAGGTACAGCTAATTAGATCAAACTGTAGTTAACTCTTAATAAAACTGTAGTTTATATAAAGTTAAAAAAAAGCGGCCAAGTGCGAGTCAGACGCACGCACGAAGGGTTCGGTACCATTGACTATACAAACGACCCACCAGCACTGGGAAGATTGAAATACTATAATTTAAAATTTTACGAAAACATGACGTAAACAATTTTTTTTCACTGTTTGACCTTGAACCCAAGTTACTTAGGTTCGATTGCCCCTGGATCAACTAAACAGGAAGTGAGCTAGGAACCAGGGAAAGCGGCGGGCCGATAGTATCGAGATCGACCATTAATCCAGTTGAGTCTGCTGTATTTCTGGGAATTACAGTAGATTCAAAGCTCCAGTGGAGTCCCCATATATCATCTCTTGCGAATAGGCTGAGCTCCGCTGTTTTTGCGATTAGAAGTGAAGGGTTAGGCAGCTAACAGACATCGACACTGCCAAGTCTGGCTTACTTTAGTTATTTTCACAGAATCTTTTCGTACGGCATTTTGTTGTGGGGTAGTGCATCAGATATAAATTCCATATTTATTCTTCAAAAAAGAGCTGTTCGAGCAATCTACAATATCAGAGCCCGGAATTCACTCAGAGATCTTTTCAAAGAGGTTCATATACTCACTGTTGCTTCTCAATACATTTATTGTAATATTTTGTATACACGGCATAACCTTAATTATTACATAAAGAATAGTGACAGACATAAAATAAACACTAGAAATAAGGACAAACTTACTACACCATTGTTTCGACTGCAAAAAGTAAATAGGTCGTTCATGGGGCAAAATGTGGGCATGTATAATAAAATCCCACAGTCGATATTAAGTCTGCCGCTTGACCAATTTAAATGTAAAATTAAAAATCAACTAATGATTAAAGCATATTATACCATTTCGGAATATCTCGACGACGCCAATGTGTGGAGTTAATGCTGTTGATACTCACGTAGGCTAGAATAAGACTATTATACCTGTATATTTTTTATTTATGAACCGATTTAAGTAAATACAACTAAGACTAAATGTTAAGTGAAGCTTCCTAGCTTCCTACAATGCATTAGTGAAAGTTGCACGCAAATAACGATGGAACGCACAATTTTAACAATTATTGTTTTGCATTCTGTTACGTTGATAAAGGCCCCCAATAACAGTTTTCCTCAAATATCTTCCATGTACAGACAACGATCAGTTACATTTTTATTATATGTATAGACCTTAAGTGACCTTAAGTGTAAAAGGAAAGACATGTTCATCAAGTTTGTCAAATGTAAGGTATACGCATACACACTATAGGTACACTTAAATTAATTAACGCTTTGATTGATTGAATACCTACTTGTCAACTTGACAATGACAAGTATAATTTAAGTTTATTAAACCCCAATTAAGTAGGTATATAATTATTAATGACACTATTTATATTACAGTTTTTATCCTTTCAACATTTATTTTTAACCGCATAAATTATACTCTATTCAAAAATATAAAGAAACTTATTATTTTAAAAACATAAAGATTTGTAGAAAATAAATTATATTTTTGAGTTGAAAATATAAGTTGCCGTTTATGTTCATATTTTCTGCGCAATTGTAATTTAATTTTTTACTCAACTTATGTACTATGATGCCGCAATCAAAGATGTCAGTTTAACTTTACTATAATTAAATTGATAAATTCTCCCGATATAAAAAGATCAATCATATAAGAATTCTAAGATTTCACGTGACGCATAACAGTCATATTAGTGTCAAGCAAGCGCTTAATGGCGTCTTTGAGTGATCAATAAGACTAATCTACCTAATATAGAGATTCGAATATAGAAATAACAGTCAGTTTCTGCTAAAATTTTTACATATTAACAATAAATGTTAAGGTATATAACCCATATTGGACATAAAATATTGCTTTGTTATTCTTAATAATATAACTTTAAAGAAATAAAAGTCAAAATTATTATTAAATAATTTATTGAAAACAGTCCATAAAAAACACATGCCAACACACCCAAATTATAAACAATCAATTCAGACCAGGTCCTTATTGTCTTATATAAGGAGAATTTTCCAATCATATGATGTAGTCAACGGTTTGTTTTACAATATTTAAGGTCTCTTTAATGTCTGTCATTGATACTGAATAACAATAACCCATGAAAGGTTGATATTAACATTTTTCGAAATTTTGCATCTGCTTGTCGCCATAGAAATTAATTAAAATCGCTGAAATTTAAACCTTGAAAATGATTTCATGTTGGCAATAAATTTATGCCTTGGGAACAAACAGAAATTTCTACATTTCTACTGGTATACACACGAGAACAAATTTTGAATCTCAAATTATTATATACATACATTGATTCATTGGGACAAGAGAAGTAATATTATAAATATACAAACAAGACAGTTATAATACATTTGATAACGTAAAAAGTATGGCAGTGATATGAAATTTATTTTAAACTAATACCTATCTATTCTCTTCATTTATTCTTACATAATAAATATGAAACCAAACAAATCATTGTCTTACCTTTATAAAGACAAAAAAAAAACATGCAATATTATTTAATCTAGTTGCAAAATTACACAAACACAACCGATGCATATCTTAACAACTGTCATACTTCCAAATTGGCAACCACGAATTGCCACTGCTGCGTAGACACTACAAAACTGGGACTAGATACACTACGAAAGGGGCGGCTAGCATCAGGAGATTCTGAAGTAAGTCTGGTACATGGTGCCCAGCGAGGTGGTGAGGAACCAGGCGAAGCAGCACCACCAGGTCGCGAAGCCGAACAGCCCGCGGTGCACATCCACCGTGAAAACCTGGAACCAAATCACGAAAGACCAGTGTGAGGTGGAACTGCTATACTACTGTATACAACTGCGTTTCGTCTGGTGAGTGAGCTTTCAAGCCTGAGAGTGTCGCAAATGTCAATGAGCGGCGGTTATCATTAAACATCAGGTGAACCACCAGCTCGCTTACCACCTTCTCACATAAAAGCAAACATTAAAAGTTGAAAGACGCGGGAGATACAGTTAACTTTAGAATATCACAATGGCGACAACACCTCTCATAGCATACTCTACCGCATTACGGTCAAACGCAGCCGTTCACATTTTCAACGCGATACAAGAAGTGTGTGTTTGTAGCCGTGATAGCTCAGTGTCCTGAGTTCCATCCCCGGTGCCGGCACCAATGAAATTGTTGATTTTAAGTGCTGACTTAACAAATTCTCAGCGGTGAAGGAAAACATCATGAGGTAACCTGCATATTTTCGAAATGATAGAAAACAATGTTTCGAAAATATGTGAAATACACCAACCGTGGTGGACTATGGCCTGATAACCTCTTTACAGAGGAGGCCTTTGCCATTTGTAGGCTGTTTTTACTTGTCACTTGGCTCACCATCTTCAAATTGTTCCATGCCATCTGGTACTGGTCCATGGCTTCCGTCTCCAACCCAGCGGCGGTATCATCCGCCGGGGCAGTCTCCGCACCCTCGGAGACCAGCGCCGACCAGGAGTACCCGCCGAGCGTCTTGTACATCAACGCCAAGTACAGGCACATGATGACTGGACACAAGTACTGCAACGCCACCACGCAGAGATAGTAGAATACTGATGCTACCTGAAAGAATTTAAACTGTGATTATCTTACATTCTCTTATACTAACCGCGACTACATCTGCGTAGAATAGGCTGAAGGCGTAACATTCAGACAGAAAATAGATATACATAAAATATGCATATAAATTATAGCCTATGTCTCATTCTGATGTATATTGCTATATTATTATTAAGTTTCATTAAAATCCATTGAGTAGTATTTGCGTGAAAGAGTAACAAACATCCATCCATAAATACAAACTTTCGCCGTTATAATATTAGTAAGGAAGTAAGGATTAGTTATCATTGTTTGTGATGACTCGTTGGCGCCATTTCAAAACTATTGGCTTCGGCGTGGGGGCCGTGGGTTTGATTCCCACATGGGACAAGTATTTGTGTGATCCACAGATAAGTGTTCCCGTTCCAGGTGTTTGACTCTGAATGAAGTTGACAAATCATAGCCAAAACCGCTAACAACATGTTTCACATTTCTTGTGAACCCCACCTAGGTGGGATAAGGGCAGACGGATGATGATGAGTTATCATTCTTTATGTTATTAATGATAATTAACGATAATCTAGCAGTTACACCGTTAGATTAATGCAGCAGTAAGGAAAAAAAGCACACAAAATCGGTATTGTATAATAAACTTATAAAAATGATTAATGGTAAGAATAAAAAACATAAACACTATATTGACGATCCAATTGGCGTGGAGAGTATTGTGTGATTAATACAGTGTGTTGCCAGTGTCTGGGCGTTTATACATGTATAATATGTATTTATTTATAAAAAAAGTATGTTTGTACGTTAATCAGTTATCTAGTACACATATTAAAAGAGTTGCTTAGTTTGGGACTAGAGAATGTTGTGTGAAAATGTGTCCAAAACACATTTATATTTATTCCAGCCTGTGTGGTAACATTACCTTTTTCTGTAGCTCAATGTTAGTTATGCGACCGGCTTCCTTCTTTTGCGCGTCCAACCTCCTCTGTGCCATGTCCAAGTAGGCTTGCAGCTGCCTCGGCATCAGCAACAGTCTTATCACAACCGATACAACAACTAGTACCAGACGTAGTGTGTCGAAAGTGTGGGGCGCCATGCTGGAAAGAAGAATTTTCCAAGTTTATTTTACTTCTCACATAGAAGGTGGCAAATGAGATTACGGTTCACCGATGTTAAGTGAAAACCACCGCCCATTGACATTTGCAACACCCGAATGGTTGCAGATGCATTGCCACCTTTTAATATAGTGGGCCCCGGCTAACACACTCACCAGACGAAATGCAGAAGTATAACACGTTTACTTCACGCGGGTCTTCTGTGAGGGTTGTGGTACTTACCCGGACGGACCTGCCCATTCCTGCAACAGAGAAGACTGATGCATGGCACCACAGTTAAATTTAATTCAGTTGTTTGATGACTCCTCGACGCAGTTGCCAAGCTTCGGCGCCGGGTCGCGGGTTCGATTTCCACACAGGACAACTGTTTGTGTCATCCACAAATAATTATTTTGGATTTGGGTGTTTATCCATGTGAAATTTTTGTATGCGTAATATCATTATTACTTGACAATAGGACACAATTGGAATCAGTGGTATATTAAAATATTAAATTATATGTAGTTTTATTTAATTTATGAGACCTTATTATGCATGTTATATAATATATTTTGCCTTTTTATACAATGAAAAAACATAATACCTTCATCAACTAATGCCCGGTTCCTATATTCAACGAATGGCCGTTAGTTACATAACTTCCATAACTTTCATAACGACTCGTTATAACGACTTCATAATAACAATGTAACTAACGGCCGTTCGTTGAATATAGGAAGCGGGCTTAAATAGTACTCACAGATATTGTAAGTTAGAAAATACTTACAGGGGTTTGGTCATTCCACTAAAAATACGAACTGTTAGATAGTGTCTGGTAATGGGACGTACCCACAAGAGGGCTAGAACGAATGGCATCGCGAAATTTATATTCAGCAGTAAAGATTTAAGTTTATTGTCGCCGTAGTATCTGTAAGGAAAAAAAAAACATTTATAGAAAATTTTTACTTGAGGTAAATGAAGTTACAAACTTAATTTAATTACAATTCAATGAATTTGAACCAGATGAGTACTTCTGTAATATATCATACTAATAATATAAATAAAGGTTGTATTATTTTTCTCTATTTTTATGTTTATATTTGTTGTTGAGTAAAATAGTACATTACCCAGGAGTAACATAAGTGCCACAAAATTAAATGCGCCATAGGCCACTTAATTCTTTATCGTTTAAACAAGCCTATGTGTGTATATAGTCCAGTTAGAAGCTATACTTCTTTAGCGTAACAAAAGAAAAGTTTAACTGACTAAATTTTTTATTCTCTGTGCCAATACTCTATGTTTGGAAAGAAGACATTAAATGCAATTGATAACTGGTTATGTAAACTTAATATTTTTTTTTACTTTACAACTATACTTACAGGCTGCCGCTGTTACTATACGTATTGTAACACCATAAAGTTGTTGTAGCGCGTCGTAATAATTCACTCAATTTTCCCAAACGCGCCAAAAGAAGTATCAAATTAAAAAAAAAATAACGGCCCATATGTTCCACCACTAGGCAAAGGCTACGTCTGTACAGAGGGTATTATGGCGTCCACCACACGACCCTACTGTGAATTGGCAGACTTCACATATATTGTTCACATAACTGTTTTTATTTGTTGTTATTTGGAATATATGGAGGTTACCTCACATTATTTTCCTTTTACTAACCACTGAGCCCATGTTAAGTTGTTATTTATAAAATATTAAACCTAACTCTTGCAAGGCTGTTCTGTTGATAAATATATACGGATATTTCGTATCTGTATGATTGAGCGAGGGCAGGGCAGGGCACGCATGTTTGTGTATTTATTGCACTAACATAATTTGAATGGGTGGTATATACAGTGTGTCGTTACCATCGCGACAATAAATGAACACACATATAGGGGATAAATTTTTAAAGTTTTATTAAACATATAAATTCTTTAAACATCAATATTTACAGAGTTATTAAATTTTCCAAAACAAAGAATTTAAGAACACCTTACCTATAAAAGCGTAACGTAAAGTTCATTTGTAAAGGTCACAAAGCATATGAATGGGTTGAATGAATTTAAAAGAGACAAAACATACTGTTAGAAGGAGAGGCTTGTAATGCGACGTTGTGGCGCGGGTTGTATAGGATGTTACAAATTTTGTTTCTTTTTTACTTAATTAGTTTGTTTCAAAAATATTTTTTTTTGGATTTTGTTTAACGTTAATATTTTTTTATGATTATTAGCAAGTAGCGTTAGACGTGTGTTCATTTATTGTCGCGATGGTAACGACACGCTGTATATCCATTTACATTTGATCTTATATAGCCATATTAGGTGTGACATAAGTAAACTAATTAATATTAACCTCAATGAGTCCCAGTGCATCCTGGCAACCCTCAGCCCAGGGAAAGTGAACAAAGTCCCAATTATGGCAGCCCAAACAGCGAGAAAAAACTTTAATATAAGCTTGGATGCTGGACCTCTGGAAAATAAATGTTGATCATTTTATAAAATTACATAAAAGTAATTTTTAAAAACTACTTAAAACATTTTGGTATTCATTAACATAGATGTATTAAATTAAGTTTTTGATAAATATTTTTATTTACTTATTGTCATACAGTCTTCTGTCTGCCATTCCCATAATTAATTTATACAACAGTCTATATAAAAATTCATAAAACATAATATTGAACAATATTGGCAAAACTTACACAGAAGAAAGACCCTGGTTATCTAGAAACTTTGATGCATTTTCATAAAAGCTGTCATATGCCGGGTCCACACCTACTTCCAGATTGGACTCATCAACAATTAGCACCATCATTGCTAACAGGAGGAAGACACAGAAGGCCACAATGCAGGTAGATCTTTCTCCTATTGACTCATCACTTATGAAGTACTGTTTTGTAAGAGACAAAAGTATTTTACTGTGTGCGAGTTAAGGGTTTAAATTTACAAGATAGAATTTGATAGTGAAGAACCATCCAGCAGTAAATGCTGCTGTGTAAACACACTGCAGCATTTACTGCTGGATGGCTGGATGGTTGCTGGATGGTTGCTTAAACAAGCAGAATCTAGGGAATGGATGCAATAATGCCCACTCAGGGCATTACTAAAGCTACATGAATTTAAAAAAAAAGGCCAAGTGCGAATCACACTTGCGTATGGAGTGTTCCGTACCATAACAATGGCAAAAAAAAAGTCATGTCTGTTGTATGTGAGCCCCACTTAAATATTATTTATTCAGTTTTTTAGTATTTGTTCTTATAGTGCCAACAGAAATTCATCATTTGTGAAAATTTAAACAAACTATCACGGTTCATGAGATATAGCCATGAGATACATACAGATGGACAGACAAACAGACAGCAGAGTTTTAATAATAGGATCCTATTTTACCCTTTGGATACTGAACAAGTAATAATAAACTTACGAACTTAACTTTTTTACCTATATAATACATACAACAATACATTACATACATATATATATATAGAAATATCTATTTCAAATCTGTTTTTCACTATCAATATTGTTTTTAATTATCAATAGGCAAAAATCTTAATGTGAAGTAGGATGTAGAGTTATAAGGTAAAATTAGTCTACTCTAGTGTGTAATTAATATAATTATGATAAAAATAGAGCTTGTGTTAATTTTTTAAAAGATCCCATTAAAAAATTAAATTATGTCAAAACAAATGGTTCCTGAATGTTGATATATAATCCTAATAACCGCATCATTTGTCTCATTTATCAATTACATGACTATATAAATTAATAGATAAAACCCCACTATTTTTTGAGATTGGTGAAAAATACATAGCTGCAACCTATGTTAATTACATTAAGTAATAAACTATATCTATTTTTATTAAAAGTTATATATATCATTAAACAATAAAAAGGATACAATGAAAACAGCACCACTAATAAGCACCATACCATACTCAAATTGAATTCATCCTTTAGCGGAAATATGGTGGTATACATCTGGAATAGAAATTAAATCATTAATTAATCATTAATTAAAATAATTTATTTATAGTTAGCTTAGTAGTTTTAATATTAATATAAAATTTTAATGTTGAAATAAGGAAAAAAAATAATTAGACTGGTTATTCATACAAACTGTAAAGTAAGATTTTACATTCTTCAACTTTAGGCTGTTTAAAACCATTTAAATTAATTAAATTTAAAATGTATCCTTACTAATATTATAAAGGCGAAAGTTTGCATGTATGGATGGATGTTTGTTACACTTTCAGGCAAATACTACTGAATGGATTCTAATTAAATTTTACAATAATATAGCTTATACATCAGAATAAGACATAGGTATAATTTATATACATATTTTATGTATATCTGTCTTTCTGTCTAAATGTTACGCCTTTAGTTTATTATAGGCAGACATAGTCGCAGCAGCTAGTTTAAAATAATCTGCTTTTAGTTTACACTACAATTTTGTTTGAATATAAATAATAATAAATTGTTACAGATCTGTAAAGGGCAGCTTACCTCAGACATTACATAAACTATACTTGTATATAAAGAGAAGTCAACAATCCAGAGGTACTCAGCATAAAATCTTAAATGAACAACATCAAGAGGTGTCACCGGTGCAGTTTCAAGCTGCAAGTCGAGGCTGCGCGGTACGTGAAATGTTTCCAGCTTTCCATTTTGCTCCGTTTTTCCACCTTTCTTGCCTTTTGGCTTGACTTTCGGTACTCCAGCTAGAGTTTTCAATTCACTATTATCAGGATAAAGATAACGATACAGGCCTTGAGAACATAAAAGCCAACGCGCAAAAGAATAGTTCCCTAGTTTTTGTATAATGGACACCATAATAAGTGTAATAACTAACTGAGCTCCGAGTAATGCCTGAAAAATAATAAAATATTAGAGCAGTGCCTATGAAGTGAAAATAAATATTAAGCGTATATGCTCTGGTCTAATAGTTATACCATTGCTATTTGATTCCTTATTACAATTTCAGTTATTCATAGTCTAATTTTAATTAATTATTTATATTTTCGTCCGGGATATAACCTAAATCTGTCACTCCTACACATTGTAATACTGGAGAAATAAAAATAACACACCACCCACAAGCAAGACGCGCTAAACGTCAAGTTGATGATAATAGATAACGGGAAGATAGATTACATTATACAAGATACGACTAATGGGTTTTTAACTTGCCAGGGTAATAATTACCAAGTTGACGGTAAACTTTTAGGCAGCAGTCATTGTATATATTCAGCCGATCATAAGTAATAAAAAATATAGGGCAATAAAACCAGATATTAGATCGCTTTAAAGACCTCAACCACCTCAAACAATACAGTCACTAAGGGTAACTTCTTCTTCGATGTTGAAAAGACATTCAGCAGAGTCTGATACAAACGCTTGCTGTTTGCATTCAACGTGCCAGACAGGCTCATGAATCGCTCTTTTCGCCCACTCAGGGCAGGCGTTCCTCAAGGCTCCTGCCTCTCCCTCCTTGCTCTTCACGCTCTTCCAGTACCTAGCAATCGCTTTCGACACCAGACTGATATTTATCACACATATCAAGAATATAAGAGTAAAATCCACGGTCGATTCAGGCCCGCTCCGTAACTTAAATTCTCCTGTGAACCGTACTCAAGGTAAACCCACGTTCTAGGGCCGTTCTCATCATCCCCAGCGTCCGATTAGTAAATGGAACGGCCATTAGGTGATCTAAGCCGAGGTTCCAACCACCATCTAAGTTAGTTTAATTGGCCATCTTTCCTTAACGGTCGTGGAGATGCAGTGGAACAGACGGGGTCATAGCATAGTCATCGTGTACCAGCTCGTCGTTAATCGTTTAGTCAAGGACCTCGTACTAAAAAACAGTCAAAGCCACCGGGCTGACAGCTAGCGAAAAGTCTTAAAAAAAAGTGTGTAGACAACCAAATGAAATTTCTTAATTGTTTCTCTATTCAAATAATTATTTATTTCGTTATGTACCTACTATAATTATGTTTTGTTAACGTATTGATATGATAATGTTCTGTAAAATGAAACAATGAACAGGCAAACAGGGGAACTTATAATAATATATTGAAAATAAATGATTTTTTTTAATAGTAAAAATTATATGCATTAATTTAGGCTGTAAATCTTTGTAATAATTTTCAAATTAAGTTATTTTAGTAATTATATATTCACACAAGTAAGTTTCAATATAATATAAATCAAATCAAATAATAATAATCTAATATCAATCAACGAATAAAATGATTTTTATCTGGTATTATATCTTTTTACATGGTATTATTATAAAAGTCAATAAGTCAAGTTGCTTTGCTTGCGCATGAATGACGAATCCGCAGACGCTGGCAAATCGTTTTCAGTTATCGATTTAGCCATTTAATCCGGTTTCGTCGCCGCCGAAGTCTGCTCGCAGACTATAGCGACGGAGCCTCGTTATTTTATGTTTTTCTATCGTGTAGTGTAAAAGAAAAAAAAATCAAAATGGGTTCGTTATTTAGAAGTGAAGAAATGACTTTGTGTCAACTCTTTCTGCAAAGTGAAGCAGCCTATGCTTGCGTGTCTGAACTCGGAGAATTGGGGCTCGTGCAGTTTCGTGATGTGAGTACATATCTTTTAAACACGCCCCTTACCACTGCCGTGTTTTCCCCGAATTAATTGGTACATGTTATAAAACTTTTACTATGTGATATTTCATACTTTATGGGAAATCTGCGACCCACTTTCACATTGATATCCCGAGGTTGACCCCATTTGGGAACTTTGATAGTGCAGATTATTGATTTTTGTACAGTACTGTTTTATCGAGTTGACGTATTTTCACATATAGATGGGATTTTTTTATTAAAACTTCTATGCGTACTATTATTTTAAATTGACGTTACTTCAATTTTATCTCTTTCACAATTTATATACTGAAAATATCAATAGTCTAATATATTTGGCATTATTTGTTAATAATGTTTTGAGTAGGTAGATGATAATGTTTAATTAAATCAATCCATGTATTGAAAACTATATGATCAATGCTCAATGTAATATATTACTCGATTAACTTTGAAGAATCAGAGATTGTTAATATGCCAATGATTTTGGAGGCCTAATAATTACCTATGTAATAATTATAATAATATTTGCAATTTAAATATACATGAGCAACAAAATAAATTATATCATTTAAAATATTTTTTGAATGACAAATTATATAGGTATTTATAAATCAATTATTAACCATTTGCTATTAGGGTATTAATGACATGTCATACTGTGTTTATAACATACACAGAAAATGGAGTTTATATTTATAAAGTCATAATTTGAATTATTATATGTGTTACATAAAATTCATTTGTATAATTATTCTGAAAAGGGTTATGTAATTTAGAAACCAATATTTTATACATTTGTCATGTGATTTAAAGACCTTCAGTGATAGATAATAATTAATTGTGATAAAAATGTCATTAATTTAAATTGATATTTAACAAATGATAAGGTGTGTAAGGTCTGCATTATTATCAGTATTATTACTTACATTTGATTTGTACATTTTTTAAACCGTGAAGAAATACAATAGTCTAAGAAAGGAACTTACATTACTCCCATAATTACAAAATTTGGGACAACTCTAGATCTCGATCTAGACGTAGGTATTAATTAAAAGAGTCTAACTAGTCTTACACTACATCCCAATTAACACAAATGTACTGTAATATCAAATATCATGAATGGTGCTTAAAACATATAGAATTTGAACTTGAATAATTGTTGCTTACATTGTTACATTGCAATGGACAACTGAAAATAACAAACTTATTTGATGATATAACCAATTAGCATTAAACATGAAAGTTAGTTTCTCTGTAGTACAAATCATACTGATGCAACTGTTGCTCCGCAGCTAAACCCGGATGTGAACGCGTTCCAACGCAAATTCGTCAATGAGGTGCGCCGCTGCGACGAGATGGAGCGTAAGCTCAGGTATCTGGAGAAGGAGATCAAGCGCGACGGGATACCGATGCTGGAGATCCCGGGCGAGTGCCCGGAGGCCCCGCAGCCCAGGGAGATGATCGACCTTGAGGTGGGTCCGAATCCAAGGTCTGAGCTTATTAAATGCCGATGATAGGTGGTGGAAAAATGATATAAGCTGCCAATGCTAGAAGTGGCGAGCCCCAGATGATCTTTCTTCTTTCGCCTGCCTTTATCTCACACTAGGTGGTGTTGGCACATGTCCTTTTCTTCAAATTTCCTTTATCTGATGTCGTCTCAATACTGACCCCTTTCATAGATATATTCTTCACACAGTCCATCCAAATCTTTCTCGGTCTTCCTCTAGCTTTACCTATATCTGGCTATACCTTAATCTTTACTTAACATTTAAGTATCTAATTGCGAAGTAAATGTGAAAAAATAAGATGTCTAAAAATTTTCCCGTATGCGTATTATTTCTATATTTCAATATATTATTCGTTTCTTTCTTAAATTTTCGTATAGTTGTCATAGTTACCTTCTGCTATTACAGTTTACCACTTTTTGTTATTGGAGGCGAAAACTTCAAAAGATACCCTGTCATCATTCCTACCCACTAAAACCCCTTTGCGGCCACCTTCAGCATGTTTGGTGATACTCCGGGATCTCTTACGGAACGCACCGGTATAAGGGCTACCAGGATAAACCTTTCCCGATTCCCTCGCCATCTTGCAGCAGCTCGAGACCACTTCGTGCTGCCGCCAATCCGTGTCCCCTTTTAGCCACCTTTTACGACAGACAGGAGATACCACAGTCCTATTCTATTAGCCCGGGGCTACAGGGCTGATACTTTCCCAATTATCGCGCTGTAAAAGTGTCCAGGTCTCAACTCTTTTATTACGATTCCTCACCACAGGCGACCTTCGAGAAGCTGGAGAACGAACTGCGCGAGGTAAACCAGAATGCAGAGGCCCTCAAAAGGAACTATTTGGAGCTGACCGAGCTCAAGCATATTCTGAGGAAGACCCAAGTGTTCTTCGACGAGGTAAGTAATATAAAATGCAGGAACAAATGTTAACGACTCGAGGTTGTCCAATTCACACAAGTCATGTTAAAATCTCATGTTCTTAAACTACTCCATTATACGACATTTCAGGAAGCATCGTTTTCACGATACTACTGCCGTATCGATCGTACCTTTTAAAATTTTCTTTCCCTTCAATATTTCTCTCAATCTTCATATTCCATATGATACTTTTCCAATTAATGTCGTATTCCCCGCATGTCGAATGTTTACCGGAAACGTGAGACACAATCGACCGTTCATTATTCTCGTACAAGCCCGTCACATGATTTCACAAAGGACCCACGCAAGACAGGTCTGTGTAGTTGCTATTGTATTTTGTGAGACTGTTTAGTCGTAAATTAATCGACTGATAAGATAATTTGCGGTCGCAATGCCCTTGCGATGCCGGGAGATTTGCTGCCCGCTATAAAACCTCAAGGGCTTGTCTTAATTGGGCAGCTGTCGGTTTATGTTTAAGAACATCGAGAATTCTACACACACCAGTGTAGATAATGATCAGATTGTGTCAATGGTGCACGTAAATTGATTTAATCGTCATGTGATTGTCTAAGCCACGATCATTACATAACGCCAATGTCGAATTGCTGTTGTAGAAAAAAAACTAGCTCCACGGCGACGTTAAATTGGTCACCACTCCTCCTTTTTAATCATTACCTACTGTCCTTTTTTTATTTTCGTTTGTGTAACAAGCAAAAAGTGCCAAACTGTTCAAGCCACACTTGCATCGATGTCTACTTATTTTCTGTTAAACACTCACGATTTTGCTGTTATGACAAAAGAAAATCTTATCTATTCCAGACTGTGAGTCTTCTCTTGATCAAAGTCCTTCATGTTGCTTCATTATTTTATATCATCCGTCATCCGTCAACAGAAGATATTTAATTTTATTTGTTTATTATTTTTATGTATGTAACGCACCAATGTCAATCTTACGTGTATTCCGATGATGCAGAATAATTACAATTCGCGGTCAAATATTTATTAATATTGTAGTTTAGCGTCTTGGGATTTGTCCATACAGACTATTCATTTTTAAGTTAAACCGCCATTTGTTTAAAAAAGCGCGGTCAAATACGATGTGACATTGACATTGGGCGTGTCACTTACAATGACGCCATGTTGGCGTTCGTGTGCACAAGATGGCGGACCCGTCGCGGGAAGAGGAACAAGTGACCTTACTGGGGGAGGAGGGTCTCATGGCTGGAGGGCAAGCGCTCAAATTGGGGTATGCAGATTAACTTTGATCGCTCTCTGACGTGCCTTGACTCTTCGATGCTCCGTTCTATGCGATTAGGTCATGAACTCGAGTCAAAGCAAGTCCAAGAGCAGTATTATTTTTTCAGCGCTTGTACTGTGACGCTGACGCGGGGGTCTACCTCTCACCACTCAGGCAAGCATTGGAGACAGCCGGTCTATAGTACATCATCAGAATGACGCATCTCTTTAACTCCCTGTGTGATGAATGATTGCCTAGTAGCGATGTGACAAACGTAGATTGACAACTCTAATACAACCCCACCGTGGTCCGATCGAGGCGCCCCCTCGAGAACGCTAACCAACTGCTGCCTGAGTGAGTTTGACCACTAACCAACGCCATCCCCAGGAACATGATTTATTTTTGAAGTCCACCCGACCGCGTACTTTCGTCCGAGCATCTAGGAGGCGAAGCCGCGTTGCCGTTTTAGGTCACCATACCGTCATGCTTACCGTTCTGCTGTCATGTTTGCATGCAATTATGAGTTGTCTATCCATGTGCGTAGCCTAGTATCACGAGAGGGTTCTTTGACGAGCGAAGACTTTGTCCACATAGTCGTAGGCGAAAGTGTTTACACAGCATTCCAAATAATTATTACATTCACGCGTACGCGAGTAGTTGGAGACTAACAATGCAAGGAACGCTTATTGGAACCTGTCTAGTGGCTTTTATTTTGTGAGCACTGAAACGCGTCACCCGTTGGCGCTATTTTTTTTACTACAACAAGCATAACGCGAGCGACGGAGCGGCCGTCGGGTGCCGCTTAGCCTTGTGCCGTCCCCAGGGTGATGTTTGTTTGTCTGTACGCCTTTGTTTGTCCGCTAGCACGAGGGCGGTGCCAATACCACTGAATCGATGACCCGCGCGCTGATATCCGACGACCCCAACAAACATATGGGGCACGTCCAACTAGGGTATGTATACTCATGTACATACGGCACTAGTGTGACACTGACCCACCGCCCCCTACAGCTGATCGGCAGTCGGAAACGCTCGACCTTGATGTCGCACGTTTGGACGGTCGAAGTTCACTTCTGGATATTTCCCCGCGTTACTCGTCTGCACATCAGCTGTACACTCGGGCGCAAGATAATCTCTATGTTGTACTGTTTCCATCTGTGATCCCGCCATTTCGTAGTGTGTTGACTGTACGCGTCTCGGTTTAATCGATCACGGTGTGCTCACAACGACGACAGTTTAATTATTTGGTGACGGCCGTGTACACATTAACCTAAGTCCACACTCGGTTGTTTAACTAATCGGGCGTGGAGCAAACACCATGGCTCCGGCATCGGACGGAGCGATGGAGCCCTACAAGATGGATCTGACACTGTTACATCTATCACAATTAAAAAGCGACACGTCGGTGACGCGGGGCGATCCGATAATGTATGTGCTGACGTCTGTCTGAAAGCAAACGTTGAACGAGTTGTAACAGATGCCGTGTGCCGTGACGCCAAAGATAACACGTGCATGCACGTTGCTGACATACTAGATGTAAATCAACTCGATCCAATTAGAATAACTGCTGAGGTAACCGAATTAAATGATCAAAATACCGTTGGTGATTTGATTGCTGAATTCTAAAAGATTTACAACGCGTTGCAATCGAATCTTTCGACGGATGCTGTGCTATTAGATATTGATTGAAAAGTGTATAATATGCCTAACACTGTGCTATTATTCCCTAGTTTTCGGGATAAGCAAGAATCCTTGGAATTCCTGCCTTGGTTAGTAGTGTACAAAGTTAATTTTAGCCTAGTTGGGTAGCTGTTAAGGAATGGGGGATGGTTGTCGTGGCGTCCGTTGCGAATCTATCTGTTCGGATACGCGGAGTTGAATCAAAATTGCCCCCGACAACTTCCAAAGTGGGCAATTTTAACTCAACTCCGTTGCTTGGAAACACTAAACCCCACACGATGCTTACTAACCCTCACCCTCACATTGTACGATCTACACGATTCACACGAACCCAATGTCTGTTATCAATGGTTATTTGGACTTCAAGAATAGATGATGGAACTAGGCGTGATATTTGTAAATGCCGTACGGTCGCTGTAGGTTCCGCACTCATGTCGGCCGCCAGCTTTGTAATTTGCCCAGCAATGGAACATGACATGACCACGGATCCACAGCCAGTGTTTACTCAGTAACCCTAACAGCGTCTTGGTACGAGTGTCTAGCTATTAATGTTCTCGCCCTATACTCGTCATTCATTCGAGAGCACTGATGCGCGGCGAATCGGCATTTCAATGGCAATTTGTATTTCGTGTTCCGATGGCCGAAGTACTAGCAACCTTCGACGGACAAGTTTGGACTTGTTAATAAACGCGCTGTACGAGGTAGGGATGTCGAAAGTGAAGAAATATTCAATATTTATAAAAGTATCGATATCGGCCTGTACATATCTAAAATAAAATATCGATATAGGTCCTAGAAACCCCGTTGGCAAAAAAAAGTCAACTATTAAACATTTGACACCTACGGACTCGGATTCAAATTTGAAAAAATACCGTGTTTGATACGATTTTCGATAATGAATAGTTTATATCGATATATTGCCTGAAAATATCGATGTCTAAAGTGAATAATATCGATATATCGATGTTTATTCGACTTCCCTAGCACATGAGGCCCTATCGCCTTCGTACATGATCTGACTTTATACGACGAAACCGTGTTGTATTTTTCTGCCAAATAAAAAGAAAACTGTTGCGTAAAGCAACCGTTGATCAATGACGCTTAACTACATTTGCCTAGTTGTTTTATTTTCTTTTTTTTGAACATTGTAGGAAAATCTTCCGTAATAGGAATTACGTTAGAACCGTAATAGGAATTACGTTAGAACCGTAATAGGAATTACGTTAGAATTAATAAGAACAAGTTTAATTTTTAACAAAAAAAAACCGACTTACAACCAGAAAATTAAAAACATTGTTAATACCTATAACTTTCAATGATGGCCCTCGATTTATCTGGGATGCCATCATCAGATCCGGGTTTCTTTATCATGGTACCACCCTTGGGATATCTCCTTTCCGACAAAAAAAATAATCATTAAAATCGGTTCATAAACGACGAAGTTATCCACGAACACACATAAAAAAAAAACATATACGGTCGAATTGAGAACCCTCCTCCTTTTTTGAAGTCGGTTAATAACTGGATTAATCTTGATCGATTGCGTTTCTACCACAGTATCTTCTTTTTTATAATTAATGATATGAATTTTCGTGCGTGTGCTTTAGCGTACTAGAAGTTTTCGTAAGAATATTGTTACTTTGTGTATGTTAATTGAAAGCTAAATTATTTCTTGCCATTCTAGATTATTTAGCTGCATTCAATACATTACTTTCGTCAATACAAAGAATCTATCTATTCAATCGTACCTAAACATTAATAAGATTCAGAAAAGTTAAAATATTTACGAGTAAGATAGCAAAATCGTGTAATATCGCAGTAACGGTCGATTGGGATAGATTTTACCGTAACATAGCAACACGCGTAGTAATGAGGAAAAACGTTAAGGTTTAAATAAAGTTTAAAGCACAAAAGAAATATAATAATTTCTTGTATTTACGCGATTACATATTACTAAATCAACGAAAAAGTCGAAAATAAAACTAAAAATATACGCGATAAATCCGTAAATAGTTCAGTTGAGAAAGAAACATGAGACATGTTTCTTTCGGTATCACACGAAATATTTGAATGGCATGGTGTATTTTAATAAATAACCGCCATTACTCTTTCACGTGTTACCATTTCTCACATCGTTTTGCATCACAAAGCCTATTTAGAGATATGTCTACCGTTACGGTTATTAATAAACGTTATAACGCGTTGTCCGCTCGTGCTGCGGGCGTTGTTGGAACGAGATGTTTAATATAATTTATTATCTATACCCGTTTATTATCTGTATTTATATAGCTATAGCCACTTGCGTGTACAGTAGTGACGTCATTGTTATTCTTTTGTCCATGTTTCTTACCAACAAACATTTAACAGAGGGTATTAGGAAAACGGATTGTATATTTAAATAGAAAAAGTGTGTGATAGATTGACCCGATTGGCGTAGTTAAAAGACTCTGTATCTTGCGCCTTAATGTGCGGGTTTGATTACCGCTATTGGAAAAATATTGTGTGATGAACAAGGTGTTTTTCTGGATGTTCATATATCTATAATATGTATTTATTTACAAAAGAAGAGTATTTTTATCAGTTGTCTGGTATCCATACTTCAAGTTTTACTTAGTTCGTTGTAGTTCGTACTAGATAACGTTGTGTTAAACTATGTAATGCAATATTTATTTACATTATATATTTAATGACAACTCAAGGCAACGGTTTTAATATGGATTTTGCCAATGTAACTTTCTCGACTAAGTCATTGATGAAGATCTAAAACCTAAACATCACAACATCAAAGAATCGATTCGTAAGGTTTAGTAAATTTATAAAGTATCGTACTAACTGTTAGCGTTGAAAACCACATTCTTTAGGAGAGTATACAAAAGTGCTCTTTTACAAGAGAACAGTTAGGCTTGCCCTTGATGATAATTTGATTAAGGAGGCCTAAAGAATCTAGAAAAGAGAACTTTCTTTAATAAAGGAAGACCGTCATAATAAAACGAAATTTTTCACTTCATATTTTTGTTTGTTACTCCATACAATGATACGATATTACTTAATTATTTGCAACGTACATAGATAAAATATCTAATACAAATAGTTTTTTAGTTATACGGACGTTGCAAAACGTGATAAAAATATCATTATATTTGTTATTGCATATGAATTGCAAACTTATTTTTAGGAAAAATAGTAATTTTAGGTACATCGAAAAAAGGTAAAGATACGAATGCTCACCGATGTCTGCTAAAAAACAAAAGGGTCTTTTCCGAGAAGCGACTATAAAACGCGTTGGTGGGAAAATGAATCCGCCATTGTATGGTTTATCTGTTTAACAACAAACTCAATTGTTTTCGCCAGTATCGATTTATTGGAATAAGATGAGATAATTTAAACAAAAACACGGATCGTTATCGTCTCCCCCGGTGACTCATTTCGCGCGCTTTTGTCTGAGAGATCAATATACTCGGCTGTGTAAAAACAAGATGGACACGTTGCCACGAAAAGAAAGTTACGCAAGCTGTGACGTCATAATGTGTATTTATAAATAAGTAAACCAAGGAAGCACCAATTACGTGGAACTATTATTATTCCCAGTTTAGTGAATGGTATATCTTCCGCGTAAGATGAGGCTAGCCCACCCGGTTATGCGTTATGAAGGTTTAATAGTCTCAGGACTGAAAGCATCAACATCGTATAGATAAAAGACGTTAAGATTTTCGTTGGTGTGGCAATCAGCCGTTTATCAAAGTGGCTAAAGGGTCAGGCCGCGAATGCCGAAGACGCGGGTTCGATTCCCACAGCGGCGACGATCTGTTCGTACTTTTTCTGCAAATTTTAGCATTAACATCAGTTGTGAAAAATGGTAAGATGTAACCCTAGTAACTGTTAGCTTCACCAACTAGTGATTTATATTTCTATGTGAACACAGTTCATTTATCGCAACGTTTCAATTCACATCAATTTTAATTGTAACTTAACGAATATCGTTAAATTAACAGATGTTGCAGTTTTCTAAGCTTCGATTAAAGTTAGTTTTTACAAAGGGAATGACCAAAACTGATGAACTATAATACTTTTTATAGGATAGAATCCCTACTATAAATAGTGCAGGAGTGTAGTTATATTTGTACTATAGATATTGCAAAACCGTTACGTACGGTCAGTTACCTCTCAGATCGTGACTGATATATTATCGCATCGAAAAATGACACGTTTCATGAGAACTCACGGCGTTTCTTACTTTTGTGAAATTTTCTAGAACACGATTAACGTATTCTGTTTATGATCTGAGGGGGTCTGAATCTGAAGCAAAAAGCCTCTGTTTACTATCGAATTTAATAATTACACGTCTTATATCTCGACATACCGGTCATCGGCTAAATACGCCTGTAAAATGTATGGAAATTTATAAGTATCGAACTGTTTTTTTTTTCTTAAGGGGCTTAGTTCTTTACATTGTTTATTTATGAAAGAAGCTCTGGTTTGTACCTTCGCCTAGGATCAAGGTTCGTATCCCAACGTACGGTAGAAGGCCACTATTAAATGTGAATAGATGTCGCTCGAAATGTCATTTCACCTCAACCGATGATGATATACGATTTATTTAGTCTTAGATGAACGGTCCAAAGTCAAAATGACGTTTCACATAAATAACTCATAAGTATATTACGTAATCTAAACAGATCGACCACAAACATCGGTAGCTAATGGGTTTTGTCACTGCGTTATAGTCTATGTAGTTGCTGAAGACATACAGGATGCCACGCACTGTTGATACGAGAAATGTTCGTTGTTCGGATTTCGAATTTTTTTTTATGTAAAAAGTTGCCAAACGAGCAGACAATTCACCTGATGTTAAGTGAATACCGCCGCCCATAGACATCTGCCACACCCGAGGGTTTCAGATGCGTTGACAACCTTTTGAGAATTGGGCTCCAGCTACCTCACTCACCAGACGAAACGCGAAAGTATTTTTCATACTTCCACTTTACGCCGGTCTTCTGTGAGGTCGTGGTACTTACTTGGACGATCCTGCCCATTCGTGCAACAGCCGAGGCTGCTGCATGGCTCTACCACCGTTAATTCTGATTACTTG